ATAGGTCATATATTCCACATCTCTGCATGCTTGCTAACTTTTGGTTGGTTAGCAGACAAGGTGAATTTTACCTGGTTGGGTGCTAGATATTTTTGTATTTCTTTAAATAGTCTTGAGCACTTCCTAGGATGCAGCTGAGTTAGTTAGCAACAGTTTGATCTTTCAGGCTTGCTTTTCAGTTTTGTTTGGTAGGACCAGAGTGGCCTTTCCTCTAGGGATAATTTACCTGCTACTGAGGCAATACCTTTCTGAGTACTACACCCAGTGTTCAGTATAGTCACAGGGTCTTCCCCTCTTGCTGGTGAGAACATCACCTATTCCTGGCCCTGTGTGAACTCCAGGGGTTGTTCTGCCTGCTCCTTCTGGTGGTTCTTTCCCTATCTGTGGTTAGTATCCTCATAAGCATGAGTAGATGAATGCTCAGCTGAAGATGAAGGGGACCCTCTGCAGATCTTAAAAGCCTGTGTCCAAGTTTCCTCTCCAGTACACTTCCCTGAAAATCCTAGCTGCCATGGCCTCTCCAAATTTACAACTTTATCTCCTCAGTTCAGAAAGACACTGGTGTCTACCTGAATTACCTCTCCCTATGTTGCAACCTGGAAACTGGCTCCAGGTAATAAATTGGGCAATCAAAGGGATCACCTTGTTTGTGTCCAGTACCTTGTGGCCTATTGTCCAATGTCCAATGTCTGTTTTATATATTGTCAGAGCTTTTAAAATTTAAGGTGGGAAAGTGTATTCTGTCCTTGTTTTTACTTTTAATTTAATGTTACCAATAATCCAGAAGAAAAAGGCCTATAGTTTCAAATGCCTAAAATCTAGCATAGAAAAGACCCATCTCTCCTAACAGTGGAAACTTTCCAGTAGAAACAGAATCCCATTTTCTAACAGTGACACTGAACAGAATAAATTCATTTTAACAACTGTTATGACTATTACCAAGCAAGAAAGGAACTTTCTTAAAGAAAGATTTCTTAAACTTGGATTTACCATAAACAAATGCTAGTCATTTACTGCCTCGAGTGGTAATTACATCACATGCCTGCCTTACCCTCTGTAATTCTCTCAAATACAACAGTTCTGTCAGATGCCGCAGGAACACCATAGCCTTAGTCTTTCCCACAGATGATGCTTTTAGCTTTCACAACACAATCTGATGTCTCACAGGCTGAAATGACTGTAAGGAGCCTTGCCAAACAGACGGCTTTCTACTGCAAAGTGTTGTAACAACAAGCAAACTGCTTTCTAAGGAGCATTTTGCTGCACAGAAATGAGTTCTAAATAATTTCTGAAAGTAAGAGAAGCCCCATAATGTGGCATCTGATGATTCTCCTATGCCAACATGGGACTATACTTCTCAAGTAAATCTTCCCTTTAACAAAGAAATGGCAGCACACGTGTCAGGTGATGTCTGTAGGTGGGTTGAAAGAAGATCAGGAAAAGTTGATTTTTTTCCCATGAGCAATTCCAAACATCCCAGCTGGACATTTCTATATGCACATCAACTTAATTGCTGATGTAAGCTGGGCCTGCGTATTATTTTGTAAAAGGTGAACGGCAACAATAATGTCAAGAAGGTGCCAGAAGCCCCAAAGCATTTAGGTGTCTTCTTGACTTTCTCTACAATTTGCATTTGTCCAACAATTTACCATTTCCACTCACAAACTCCTTGCTTGCAGGACTTGGGTAGCAAGTGTATTAGGTTCAAGGAATATGTCCTGTCAGGCAGGTAAGGCCAGACTGACCCAACTAGAAAATATCCAATGGTTGTCTTCAGGGTTTCTGAACCTCACATGACCTGCAGATTCCTTCTCTATTCTCGCTACTCTTTTCTTCAAGACCTAACCCCATCGCCCACCCTTGTCCAGTCATCTCCTAGACAGCACCTCATGCTCTATACCAGGTCTACTCAAAGTATGGTCTGTTACCAGCCCACAAAGAGATAAGTAGAAATTGAGGGTAACCATTTGGAAACTTTTATAGCAATTGACAGAGTAATTTTAAATCAGTTGAATGTAATAATAAAAAAAAAACTAGGACTTGTATTTTATACTTCCATTTCACTTTTCTGGTAATTTATTTTTATTACATTTTACAAAGGTAACTGTCTATAATAATTTGGAAATTAAAAAGAAAATGAAACCTGGCCCTTCCCCACAGATAGTCTGAGAAGCATTGCTCTGTAACGTTTCCCTTGTCCCTTCATCAAAACCAGCACCAACGTCCAGGAGTATGTGGGAGTGTTAGAGAGGAAATGAGTGTGGGCTTGAGAGAGAGGTCAGCTAGCCCCAGATCAGGGGGGAAGCCTAGAACCCATATGGCCACAAGTTCTGCATTCAGTTTTGGCTTCAGGAACTGCTGCTTTGGCTGATTTAAAATAAAGAAGCATAGTCCTGGCTAGGTAGCTCAGTTGGTTAGAGCATTGTCCCAGTACACCAAGGTTGTGGGTTCAATCCCTGGTCAGGGTGCATATAAGAAGCAACCAATAAATGTATAAATAAGTGGAACAACAAGTTTATGTTTCTCTCTCAAATCAATCAATAAAATTGTTTTAAGGGGGGAAAAAAGAAAGAAAAGAAAAAAGAAAAGAGAAAGTGGCATAATATGATCCCACAGATTCCTGTTGTTTCAAACATTAAGCTCTAAGATTGGATAAAATCTAGGTAATAAAGCCCCATATGTTGCCCAAAGGAAGGGATCTGTAAGTACTTAGTTGAGGATTAACACCTGGATATACATATTATTTGAGAAAGAAGAAACCATAACAAAAGGCGAAGCAATAGTAAATAGCTAAGCAAAGCAATCAATACCTGCTATAGCAGCTGGACAATAACTACCAGGTGGAGAGTAAACTGAACAGTATGAAAATGATAAACAAACTTAGATATGTGTACAAAGCAACACATCTCTGTTTATTGCAGCAATATTTATAATGGGAGGAAAAAAGGAACTATATATTAAGTAAAGGCCTGTCACTAGAGAAGTGATTGAACAATTTAGACAATGGCCTCACTGGAAAGATTAATTTAGCTCTCTCCTAGTGGACCCGAAGGGATTTCATAGCATTTTGAAAAGTAAAAAAGCAAGATGCAGAGAAGTATTTGTACATAGTGTCCCAAGTTTTAAAAAAAATGAAAAGCCTATCTGTGCATATTTAGAAGCAGAGTATTATTTTAAATGATTATTAAAGGATAGGAGAAGGTACAAAGTTCACCCTCTGGTTAAGATTAACTACTTGGTATTGAGGTGGAAAAGTCAAGCAAAAGATATGATCAAAGCAAGCCTCTTTCAAAGTACCCAGAATTTTTTATATATGATGTTATGCTGTTTATGAAAAATTAGGTATATAAGCATGTGTATACTTCTCTATACTATATGTATATATTTCTATATATATATCTGTCAGTTGATCAATGGAGCTATTAAAAAATAGTCACCAAAGTTATGGTAGCTATCCTGTGGGGGGCATTCCTATTTTCTTATATGTTTTTCTTCCGTTAGAATGTTTACAATAACCAGGTATTATTTATATAACAAGAAAAAAACTGCAAACCACCTTCCTTATTTCCCACCTCTAACCCATTTATTTCCCTCAAGTCAGGCCCCTTCCTTCCTGGCCCCTCCACACCACATTAGTTTAGGCTCTCATTGTCCCTCATGACTGTCTGGCCACCATGCCTCAGTCTCTCCCCTCTTCAGTCATCCTACACATGGAAGCCAGAGTAACCTTTCAGGAACACCTATCTGTCCATGATACTCCCATCAGAACCTCTTCCAGGGCTGCTCAATGCCCCAGACAGCAGTTCCCAAACCAAGGTGTGCAGTGAATCTTCAGCATTGCATTTTACAACTCAGTCCCCCTCCCTCTGCTCTGCCACTGCATGACTTGCAGCTCCTGGCTCACCAATGTCCTTTCCATTCCTTCATGCCTACTTCTTCCACCTGCCCATCCCGAAAGACTCAATCAAATGTTATCCCCTTCTACAAGCACTCCAACATCTCTTACATTTTCCTGTACACACTTTATCATAGTACTGGAATCATTCTTTTCTCTCCCCCCCTTCCTCCACTAGGAGGTAGTTGAAGGAAGGATTATATTTTTAATGCCTTAACTGGATGAATCAACGAATGAACAAATGAATCTGTAAAAGCAGAACCCAAAACAGTAAATATAAATGCATAAAGTGTCTGTATAAACACTGAAAAGGGCTGAAAGGTAAACATTTTAAAGTTCATTTTTCTCTTTTCTGGCAAAGTGACTTAAGCCACTTTTTAAATTACTAGCAGTAATTCATCCAATGAACAATTTATAGTCAAGTACAGTTTAAATCCTTAATCAAACAAAACAGAAGTCGGAAAGAAAGCCATTTTCCCCTTTTTAAATAAAATAAGTTCAAATCTCTTCTAGAAATAG